TCGCCCAAGGTCACGCGGCCCAGCGGGTTCCTCCTTAGACTTGGGGTTCGCCCAAGGTCACGCGGCCCAGCGGGTTCCCCTTAGACTTGGGGTTCGCCCAAGGTCACGCGGCCCAGCGGGTTCCTCCTTAGACTTGGGGTTCGCCCAAGGTCACGCGGCCCAGCGGGTTCCCCCTTAGACTTGGGTTCTGTGGAAACAGAACTTGCGGAGTCACCGTGGCTGGGCTGTGTGCCCGCCAGGGCCGTGGCCACGAGCGCGTGGCTCGCCCGCCTCAGACAGCCCGGGGTCCTCGCTCTCTGGAGGAGGAGCACGCTGCCTCCTCCTCCCGGCCGGGCTCAGCCCCGTGGCCCCGGCCCCTGGCCGCTCAGCTGCTGCTCACCGCCTGAGGGGCTGGGACTGAGCCCGGCCCGGCGCCCTCCCGAGCGTCTGCAGCCTGGGGGTGCCTGAGGGGCAGACAGGGGCACTCCATGGACGTGTGCTCATGTTCTCATGTTCTCCAGCCTCATGTACTGGACGGACTGGGGGGAAAACCCCAAAATCGAGTGTGCCAACCTGGACGGGCAGCAGCGGTATGTCCTGGTGAACACCTCCCTGGGCTGGCCCAACGGCCTGGCGCTGGACCTGCAGGAGGGGAAGCTGTACTGGGGAGACGCCAAGACAGACAAAATCGAGGTGAGTAGCCGGGCCAGCTGCAGGACTGTGTGGCCGCTGTCCACAGCCTGAGTCTACTCGGCGGCCGGCCCGCACCCCACAGCCGTGGGCCTCGTGCCGTGGCGCTCTACCTGTGGGCCAGGTGGAATCCTCGAGGAAAGAGCTGGGCAGTCTGCGTCTCTGGCGGCCCACGGACTCGGGGCAGCTCCTCTGGCCCTGGCAGACGGACAGAGGGTCCCCGAGGCCTGTGTGCTCTCAGGGCGCCAGGTGCCCCGGCAGGGGGGGGGGGCCGGCCGGCCACGCGCCTGGGCTGCGCATCTTGGCGCCCTCCCTCGGGCCCTCCTGGCCCTCGGGGTCTCGCCTCCCCGCCGCCTGTCCCCCGACGTGCCCGCCGCCTGTGTCCCGCCCCACACTCAGGGGCCCCACGGGGCCCGCGGGCCCGCGCCCACGCCCAGCACCACCATCAGCACGACCTGGGCCGCAGGTGATGGCCGGGGCTCGTGGCGTCAACGGTCCACGCTGCCGTCCGGCCGGCACGGGCGAGCGAGCGGCCCCCGAGGGCCTGCGGGCACGTCAGCTGGGCCGGGCACTGGCCCTGTGAGTCTGCAACGCCCGGGGGGTCTGGAGCTCTTTCACGATGCAGAGGTGCCGTGAAAAGAAAGCACGGTCGCGTCTCCACGCAGGCCTCAGCCGTAAGACTGTGGGTGCAGGTGGAGCCGAGCGGCCGCTCCTGTGTCCGGCGCTTCGGCCCCTCCCGTCCCCCCCAAGCCTGGCGCAGCTGCGCACCAACCGGCCCACTGCCGCGCCGCTGGTCCGTCCAGCAGGCACCAGTCCCGCCCGCAGCGGCAGGCGCCAGGCCTGGGGACCCACAGCGTGGGTCAGCACTGTGCCCGCGCCCAGAGGGTCATTGGCGGCGTGAAGTGCCCTCCCGCTGCACTTGCACTGCCTGAGAGCAGGCCCCGGGCAGGCCCCGGGCAGGCACCGAGCCCCGGGGGTCTCCAGGGTTGGTCTTCCTTTTTCTTTTTCTTTTTCTTTTTTTTTTTTTAATATTTATCTACTTATGTACACAGAACTGGGGTACAGGCCAGAGGAGCAGGCGGTGAGAGGCTTCACCAGAGACAGAGTGGGGAGCAGAACAGGCAGATGGAGGAAGCCCACTGCTGAGGGGAGCAGCGGGCGGGTCAGGAGGGGTCAGCCGCGCCGTGTGGTCACCTCCAGCAGGGATCGAGCTCGCACTGAGGCGGCTGCAGCAGCCCGCAGCCACCAGGAGGGCCCTTTTCTGTTTCTTTTTTAAAGAAGTTTTTATGCATAAAGAATTGGGGTGCAGGCCAGAGGTGGTGTGGTGGTGAGAGGATTCCCTAGAGAGTGGGGGGCAGAACAGGCAGATGTACAGCAATCCACTGCTGAGGGGAGCCACGGGGAGACAGGAGGGGTCTGCTGCACCCCCTGGGCCCCTCCCTGGCCGGGGATCGAACTCGCGCTGCAGGGGCTGGAGACAGCCTCATAGTGCTACAGCTTAACCTCTATGCCGCCGGGGAGGCCCAGTCCCAGGGGACGGGACGGCGTGGAGCATGGGGAACGTCCCCCAGAGGTTGTGGCCGCAGACGGGCCCTGGGCAAGCCCTGGGCGAGGCAGGTGCTGCGATGGACTGGCTCCTGTGAAAGGCTGACCGGCCCCGCCTTCTCCCCAGTCCCTGAGACGTGCGGGCAGCGGGGCCCACCCTGATGAGCTGGGCGGGGTGCTCGCCTCTGCCGCTGCCCAGCTGGCTACGGAGGCTTCATCGGATGGGCCCCGGGGCCCCTGCCACCCTGGGCTGCACAGCCCTCGGGCGGCCAGCTCACGCCCTCGTAAGGGCGTCTCGGAGCCGCCCCCCCGGCCCAGGGCCACGCAGAGGGTCCCCTGCCGGGCAGAGGACGCACGCCGGGCGCTCTGGCCGTCTCTGGCAGGGAGTGTGGTGGCCACTTGCACGCGCTTGCTGCTTGGGGCTCTGGGAGCCTCCGGCCTGCTGTTCCTCTGGCCAGAACTCTTGGGGGGCTGGGGCTCCCTGCAGCTGCCGGGTCGGCAGGTGGGCGGGCCGGGGTGACGCACAGACCGCGAAGTCAGAAACTCCGCCCCTGGCTCCCCCGGCCCAGCGAGGGCGACTCTGGCAGACCAGAATAAGCTCGGGGCGGGGCAGGCCTAGCTTGGCTGCACCCCGGGCCACGGGCTGTGGTGAGGGGTGGGGCTGAGAGCTTTCTAGTACGTGGCCACAGGCGCGGCTGGAGGCTGAGCATCATCGAGGAACCAGGAACTCGCGTCTTGGGTTCGCGTGTGGCGGGAAGGGCCCCTGTCTGGCTCGTCTCTGCAAGACCAAGCCAGCGGGACCGGGCTTCCGCCCAAGGACACTGCCCTCGGGTGGCCTGTGGGCTTCGCCTTTTTCGGGGCCGGCCTGCAGACCCCTCAGCTGCGTTCCTGCCAGGACCCCGCTGGGAGGCAGGCTTCTGGGGTCTCCAGCCGCCTCTCCTCCGCACAGCCGGGCCGGTCGGGAGGCCAGTGCCTGCGCCTGGCCCCGCCCCACCCGCACCCGTCCGGCCGCCAGGGTTGGCTCAGCTGGGCCAGGGGGGCATCGGGTGAAAGCTGGCAGAGTGAGGCTGGCACCCCAGTGGCCGGCGCCCCCGGCTTGGCCATTTGAGCGCCTCTTGGGGATACCCTGGGGTCCCTTCCTGAGAGTCGGGGCGCGGGGCTTCCCGAGCATGGGCGCAAGCTCCGGCCCCCCGTGCCGGCCTCAGTCCCGGGAGGTGCTTGCACCTTTAAGTGACGGAAAGATAGAAGACAGTCGTGTGACTCAGAGGCCAGTGTCCACCAGGAAAGGCTACTTTTGGCTCTTGCACAAGGAAAGCTTTATTGGCACGGGGCCACGCGCGCTTCCACGCGTCCCGCTTGGCGCTCCCATGTGACCAGGACCGCCACGGCCGCCACGCCGAAAATGTGTGTGGTCCCTGGTGGGGACAGTGTGCCAGCCCTGTCCTGGAAAATCCGCCTCCCACGCGCACTCCCTGCGCCGGCCCCGGGCACCCAGGTTCCACGCTGCTGTCTCGGAGCTCAGCCCGCGCTTCCCCTCGCAGCAGGCAAACGTGCATGTTCCCTGCTTGAGCTGGGCCCGGGGCTGGGGCGCTCCCGGAGCCCTGAGCCGGCCTAGGGGCCACCGACGGCCCGTCGAGCCCTGTCCCAGCGGGACGGTGCTCAGGCTGGGCCCAGCCTGCTGCCCTCCCTGCGGCCCCGTGGCCTCGGCCCCGCCCGGCACAGGCCGCGCCTCCCGCCGGGCGCCGTCACCTTCTGCCTTTGCCACCCACAGAACGGGCTGGGTGGTCTGACGAGCTGGAACCGACCCTCCGGAGGGCGCTTGGGGAGGCCTGCCGGCCCCTTCCACGCGGTGTCCCCCAGGCCCGCTGTGCTCGCAGCACGCCCGGGCCTGTCTGTCTGTGCTGCGGTCGGGGAGGCGTTTTACATGGACAGTGCTTTCGCTGTAGCTGTTGTGGTTGATGCTTAAAAAAAAATATTTATGAGACAAGAACTGGGGTGTACGCCAGAGGTGGGGGGGTGAGAGGACCCCCCAGAGACGGGGTGAGGAGCAGAACAGGTGGAGCTGCTGGAATCCACTGCTGAGGGGCAGCGGGCAGACAGAGGGGCCTGCTGCGCCCTGGGTCCCTCCCCGGCCGGGATCCAACTTCCCAGTGCTGCAGCTCAACCCCGCACCACCAGTGAGGGCCCTTGCGGTCGTCGCTCTCAGTCAGCACCGACTCTTCACGAAAAAGATCAAGGCTTGCATCTCGGAATAAAGGGCCCCTGTGCGCCCGGGTGGGCAGAGCCCAAGAGTGCAGGTCCGGAAGCGCCCGCCCAGCCCGCTGGGTCCTGTCCGAGCAAGGGACCGGTGCGGACGGTGAAGCCTGAGCCGCTGTCCGGGCCCTTGAGCCCTGGCGCTGGGTGTGTGGCCTTCCCGGGCTGCCCGGCGCAGGCGCTGCTGATGGGTGCCAGGACCCCTTCCGTGGCGTCCACCCTGGCCTGGGCCACGCCTGGCCCCCAGGCGGCCACTGCCAGCCTTGCCTGTTGCAGACCACAGCAGCCTCACGGGCAGGGCAGGCTGAGCAGGCCAGTGCTGGCAAGGTGCGGGTGCGGGGGGACCCGGCAGCTCAGACCCGCACCTGCTGCCCAGGTGATCGACATTGACGGCAGCGAGAGGCGGACGCTCCTGGAGGACAAGCTGCCGCACATTTTCGGGTTCACGCTGCTGGGGGACTTCATCTACTGGACCGACTGGCAGCGGCGCAGCATCGAGCGCGTGCACAAGGTCAAGGCCAGCCGCGACGTCATCATCGACCAGCTGCCTGACCTGATGGGGCTCAAGGCCGTGAGCGTGGCCAAGGCCGAGGGTGAGTGCGGCCGGCCAGCGTGCCGGTCAGCGTGCCGACGGGCCCGG